CCCCACCCAGTAATAGTGACCATTTTGGAGAATAAGGATTATATTAGGGTCCTCCTTATATTCTTATTATACCACTATTACAGGGTGGGGGATCCACCTAAGGTTAGGGTAGGAAGATGGGGGGATAAGAAACAAGCACCAACATAGTGGACTCCACAATTGGGATCCTTTTGTTCACCTACCTTCATCCCGCTTTAAATTTTGTGCCCCTTGAGTTCAATCTCCAGGTGTCCAGGTGTCTGGGGTTCATGAAATGTCAACTTTTCGCTTTTGGTTTGCTATTGGCCTTAAAATTTTGGGTTTAGGGTTTTGACGTGTTTAAGGGTTTAGGGTTTAAAGGGTTTAAGGGCTTAGGTGGGTCTAGGGTTCAGGGTTAAAAAGGCGTGAAGCTTTTGAACTGGACAGACGGATATCACCCTGGGGATGCGTCCTGGCCCTCTGGCATACCTACAATGATGGTCTCGGATCTCAACATACTAGGTCAATATGCTAGAGAATACTAGGTACACAGGCTGTTATCATGGGTGCATGGGAGATCTATGTAAGTAGATGGTCTATGCGTAGGCACGAAAACTCTACATCGTATGCTCAACAGCTGCTGTTGAGCACGTAACGTGTGAACAGGCTCATGCACATACAGCCTAGGGTAACGGTAGGACTACACATGTCTTGGCCCCCATCCACCGAGAAAGCCCCATATCCCTTGATTAGGGAATATACCTTGCCCTAAATATTACTGGGATCCCTCATCTGATCTAAAAAATATTCCCAAACTAAGGGATATCGGGCTTTCTGGGGCATCCCTTGCTTTTACCAGCAGTGCACCTGATTCAAACTCCGAATTGGGCCGCGCTGATACCAGTAGAATCGCCACCATGGTTGCAAAACTGACTTGTCCTGGACCCAGAAGGGGCCCGAAAGTATTTGAAATTGTGGCCCCAAGTCCGTTAGATTGTGTTTCTGTCGCGCTCAGCTGCAGCCGAATTATTCGGCCTTGTAAGATACTACATGTGTGCTTTCACGGAGGCAGCAAGCGAGGCTGCGCTGCACCTCTTTCTTGGCGATTGCAAATGCCTCACAGATTAGGTTTTAGGGCTTAAGGTTTATGACGAGGTTTGAGCCCCAGTATAGACCCCAATATGGTACATTGGATAGTCATTTATTATTAATTAACCGACCACCCAAAAGGGGCCCCTAGTTTTTCAAAGCCGAAATTTGGGGGTTCAGGGCCCTGAGTCTGAGCGCCTGGTTTGGGCCTCTTGGCCTTGGGATTCTGGATTGCCTCGGCGTGGGGAAGGTTTAGGGTTTAGGCTTAGGGTTTAGGGTTTAGAGTCTCTGGACTATATGATAAAGGGGCCTATGTAAATTATCCCCAGTCTCATGTTGAGGTCTATTTCAGATGCCCTGTACATGAACTGTACAAGAAAATAGAACCATAATATATTCACTATACGGGCTCAAAGGCCAAATTTGTGTCTAGGAGTCAAACTTTATGAGCCATGGTCTAAACTCCTCGTATCCCCCTTAATGACCCCTTACAGTAGTCCCCTATCCAATCCCCCATAAAGCCCCCCTTTAGGGAGTTTAGACCCCATAAACCCTAAACCCTTTATAACCCCCCTTTAAGGTGTTTAGACTTCAGATCGTATGATTGCGGTTTAGGAGCAGGATAGATAGCAGGTGCTACTTGGACGTTCCAGGCAAGGGGCTCCCCTTGAACTAGGGTCAGGGTTTAAGGTTCAGGGCTTAGAGTTTCAGGCTGCGGGTTTAGGGTCTAGGGCTTAGAGTTTAAGGTTTAGGGGGTCCCCGTAACTAGGATTTAGGATTGAGGGTCGATCGCTGGCTTTCGCTCTTTCAACCAGCCAGGCTTACGCTGGGTGTGCAGGGTTTGCGCATGGATTCTCGACATCACATCTTTAGGGGTGCTTTGTAGGGAATAACGGACTGTAGTATAGAGAAGAGATTTCTATTCTCTTACTCCCTACGAACCGCCAGGAAGGATCACATCATCATCTTCATTATCTTCAACAGCGTCCAGGGCCTGAATCTTCTGGAAGTACGGCATACCGACTAGGGGGACTTCTGCCCAGCGAGAACCAGTGCGCGGAATTCTGCCCAGAATATCAACATGAAGGCCAAGAAGGCTACTGTAGCGGATGGCTTGCATAGTGGGAGGGGCGCCTCCGCCCTACTCCCTACTCCTTCTGCTGATGATGGTGGCTTGGTGCACCAATGGGGACGGATACACACCTGCAAGGTTGGGGCTGCTTGGGGAACTTGGTGTAGTGAAAGATAAGAAGTCCATTCCCTCCCTGTCCCCCCAAACAAAGGTGCGAGTCACGTACAAGTTGACTGTGGCGTCGAAGATGCTTCCTGAGTTCAGCATCTGACTTTGCTTGGGGCGTCTGCCTGACTCAACCAAGAACGGGGGAAATGGTAGTACGGACCACTACATGGCTCAAATTATGGACCGTTTAGGGAGCTTCCCAGCGAGGGATTAGGTTTGGAGTGTCTAGCTTTAGGCCTCACTTACATCACCCAAGTTCCGCCTCAAAGCAATGTAGCCGTGTGGCTGCTAGCGGTGTTAGCGTATTCAAGTCCGGGCCAGTTGCCTCCCCTAAGCTCTTTAGGGTTTAGGGCTTTAAATTTTTAGGGTAATTCTAAACCCCATTCTGCACATTGATCTCCTTCCGACCCCAACTCAGGCCCAGCCCCAAAACACCAATGAGCCCACATGTATTGAACAACCTGGCTTTCAGCATGAGTTTTTTTTTAAAACCCGGCTTAAGGTTAGGGTTTCGGATTTAGGGATATATTAGGAGAATAGAAAAGAAAATGGAAACTACTATTTAGGGTTGGGGGTAATTCCGACAGATGTCTCTAAAACATCTACATAGCACCAGAAGCCGCGTGGGTATTAGGGGCCGCAGTAGACTAGGGACTGATAAAGATACCGCATGTTGAGTGTTTAATTAGGGCTTAGCTTTAAGGTTTAGGGTTTCGAGTATAATTTTGACAGCCTACCGTGTGGTGTAATCTCTCCAAGCTGCGCAATAGCGTCGCGCTGCCAGCCCGGCTATGAAGGATGAGAAAAAGCTCCTGGGATTGCCGGGCTCATATCAGGCTTTAGGTTTTGGTAGACTATAGTAAGGGTACATAGGGGGTAGGTATATATATATA